GAGACATGCTACATGGTCCTGTGTGAGGCCCCAGAACTGTTGGGATGACGCAAGAAGACACTTTTTGACTCAGCACCAGGAGTCAGTTTCTAACACCAAACCATCCTGTTCGCAAACGAGATCCCTCCCTCTTCTTTTTATTTTTTTTTATTTTTTTTATTTTTTTGGACAGGTCTAACCACGTAGTCCACATTCGCCTCAAACTCACAATCCTCCTGCCTCACCCTCCCAAGTGCTGTGGTGACGGACATTCACCCTTACATCTGAGGAAACTTGATTTCCTAAAGCGGCTTTCTCACCCCGGGACGGGTTGTCTGATGAAGATGCAGTGACCTCTGCTCTTGCATTCCCTGGAGGTGGGAGGTAGAGCAAGGGGTGACTGGCCCGTCTTTCAAAGTCCCTTTCCATGCCTAGGAGAGGCTCATGTGATGTCTCTTCTGAGCGGTGTGTTCCGGGGAGCAAAAGCTGACCCTGTGTACGGGCTGGAGGGGCAAGACAGTGGGGTAGGGTTGGGAGGATGAGCAGTGCTTGGTCATTTCCAGACCCAAGAAGCTCTGAGACGGTGTCCCAGAAGGGTACAGGACTAGAGGGGCTAGAGAGACGCTCCAGCCCTCCCTTGTCCTGGCCTTCTTCCTCCTCAAGTGCAGGTTTCGGGGCCAGCAAGATGGCTCAGCAGGTAAAGACATTGTCGCCAAGCCTGACCTCCTGAGTTTGGTCCCCAGGTCCCACACTGTGGAAGAAGAGAACCAAATGTCACAAGTTGTTCTCTGACCTCCACAGGTGCTCTCTCTGTCTCTGTCTCTCCCATACATGCTACACACACACACACACACACACACACACACACACACACACACTAAAATAAATTAAAATGTAAACATTTTTGAAAGAGCAGTTTCTGAAGGCAGGGAATAGAGGAGAGGGGGAAGAGCCTGAAATAGCCGGGACAGAGTTAAAAGTCTTCCCACTTTAAGCCTTGAGGAACATTGTTTTCTATGTTGAGGACAAGGTAGAGACTGTAACCAAGGTATGCAGGCTGGGAAGGGGGAGACTGGAGTATGGAGGAGATGGTGATGGAGAACTCCGGTCAGGATAGGATCCCCTTGAAAGGTCATTTGCCTGGGAGGGCAGGGTGACGACAGTGTGTGGGTCATGGTTTGGCTTGGAAGGGAAGGATGATTACAAAGTTGGGGCAAACCAAACCAAAACACATACCAAAAAACCCCCAAAAAACAAAACACCCAGTACACCATAGGTAGGGGCCTTGGGTGCAATCTTACACTATTGTGGACCAAGTCAAGAAATGGACCCCCTCTCACCGTCCCCCCCTCTGCTCCCCCGCTCCCGCCCCCTCCCCATAGAAGAAAACCCAACAGGATGAAACCTGGAGGGGAAATGGATCAATGTCTACCACTCACGACGGGACAGAGCAGGAGGAAAAGCAGATGCTATGAGCCTTTAGAGAAGCTGCCTTGGATTGCAGAGGATGATAAACATGGAGTCAGGACCCTTGATACAAGGTGGCTGCCATTGATGTGTTACAGGATCCTGGGTAAGTTTTTCTCTCTCTCTCTGTCTCTCTGTCTCTCTCTGTCTCTGTCTCTGTCTCTCTCTCTCTCTCTCTGTCTCTCTCTCTCTCTCTCTTCCCCCTCCCCCCCGCCTCAGGGCTATAGGGTCCTCTCTTGTGTAAAATTGGAGGGAGGTGGTGCCTAGGTGGTTGCCCATGTCCTTTCTAGCCAGGCTGCCTACAAGTTTATTTGCGGGTGGAACACCGTTACTTCAGAGCACGGCTCTGTAGCTGTGTTTATGTTTTGCTTTCATTTGGTAATTTCATGTTTTGTTCTTCTAGTATTATTTTAGGGTTGTTCCCTTTGAAAAAATTCTAACTTACATCTCTTTCAAACTTGAGCTGAAAAGGGAAGGAGGGGTCCTCCTTCCTGGCTGGACAATCGGATGGCGGCACTAACAGGCTGATCAAGGCCCCCGGCTTGCCTAGGACTGAGGGGTTTCCCAGGGCAGGGACTTTCTTTTGGTTCTAGGCAAACCGGTGTGGCTGGTCACCCCAGTGATGAGAAAAGTGAAGACCTTGAGGTGGCTGGAAGCGCTCTTCTCCTGTCCCTTACGATGAGGAGTTTCCCAAGACTGTGAGCTTCCCTCACAGAGGTCCCGCAGGCAGGAGCGAAGGGCTGCCTTCACACCAGACCCCGGCCCAGTCCAGACCACAGCTGCCAGGAAAGATGCTGAAAGGCCTGACTATTGCTGACACTGTGGGGGAGTTTCCCTTTTTCTTAAAAAAAAAAAAAGAAAGAAAGAAAAAGAAAAAAGAAAGGAAAACACACACACATACCACACACACACACACCAGAAAAGACCCAGTGGAAAAAAAAAATGATGAGTTGAGAGGCAAGTGGCAAGCCCTACGCGGCCCCAGGAGACAGCACCCAGCTCATTTGTTTAAATTTGCAGCTGACGCCTGCCACCTCTCCATAGGCACCAGCACAGAGCTTCTCAGCATCAGACAGGGACCAGTCTGGTGACACAGACCGCAGCTATGAACTACCCACTAACCCTGGACATGGACCTCATCACCTATAACCTGGACGACCTGGTGAGTAGAAACATGCGGCTCCCTGGTGTCTAGGTCCTGCTTGGAATTTTAGATATTTTGTGTCAAGGAGAGGGGGCAGCTTGGGCGTCCCTCCGCAAGGATTATAGAACGTAGGCAAAGGCAGGGTGCCTACACTTTCAGACTTTTGTTGTCCACCTGTCTGTCACCATTAATAGATACCAGAGGGAGACTGCAGACATAGAGTGAGGTTCTGCATCCCTGGCTGTGGGACTAGGTGCACAACTCTGCCTCTTAGTTCTTCAATAGAAGGTCCCCTCTTTGTCTCTTTGAATTAGAGTGGCAAAACATTTGGAAGTTCTCTCTCTCTCTCTCCCTCCCTCCCTTCCCCTTTCCCTCTCTCTTTCTCTTTCAAAGCAGGGGTTTTCTGTATAGCCCTGGCTGTCCTGGAATTCATTCTGTCGACCAGGTTAGCCTTGAACTCACAGAGGTCCGCCTGCCCAAGCGCTGGGTTTAAAGGCGTGCGCCACCACGCCCAGCTGGACGCTTTCTGAATGTCAGTATGCTGGCGCTGCTAGTCCATCAGCCAAGGTGTAGCTGTTCACTGGGAAAGTCCTCAGTTGGTAGAGTGCTCGCCAAGCATGCCTAAAACCGGGTTTCATCCCCAGCGCACACACACTAGGTATGATGGTACACGCCTGTAATCCTAGCATGAGAAAGACAGAGGCAGGAGGATCAGAAGTTCAAGATCATCCTCAGCTACGTAACAAGTTTGAAGCTAGCTTAGAACACATGAGACCTTGTCTCAAAAATATATGTAATTGTTCATCTTTGCTGTACGGTTTTGTTATCAAGGTACAACATTCTGTGTTGGATGGAGAAGTTGAGAACCTGATCTTTGCTGTCAAATAGCTTATGGTCTAGACAAGAGGGAGGAACGAATCCCTGACTGGAAGCTTTTAGACAAAAGTATAGATAAAGGAAGTGTGAGAACAGATGTAACAAGGAAGAGGATCCCAGCAGCCAGAGTCATGCAGCAGGGAGTGAATGCTAAGCTGTATTACTCCTGAAAGTGTCATGGAGCGTGATGTTGTCATCTCTGGAGATAAGGTATTCTTGGAAGAGTTCCTTAGGTGGGCGTTTAAAAAGTGGTGCCCAGCGGCACTCTCTGGCACCACCCAAGAGTCTCCAGGGAAGCACAGCGGTTCACCTGACTTGGTTGCCACTCTGCTACCAAAGGATGTTGTAGGGGCAGCTCAAGAAGAAACCCCCGGGGCTCTGGGGTCTGGGCAGTGGCGGACTTGGAAACTTCACCGTGATCCTATTCTCTATGAGCTGCTTTCTGGGCTCGGCCATGAAAGCGCCAGACCCTGGGTCCCATCAGATCTCCTGCCCTGAGCACTCCTTGAGGTGGTCCCCAACTCCCTCAGCTCTCCAGCATCTGCGCTCTACCCACTCTGCCCCCAGGCTTGCCGGGAGATGCTCCTTTACTCGTCTCAAGCTGAGAAGTGCCTGTGGCCTGTGGACAGATGTGAGAGCTAGGATTCATCATAGCTGGTCTCGCCTCTGCAGTCCAACCCTAGTTCAAATCTATCCATGTGTTTATTTAGGACTTGCTGTAGTCTGCAGGTCCAATGAAAAACCAAAATATAAGGCCTCTTGTTGAAAAGGAACGAAAGATTTCAAAGACAGGCATAGTATCACACATCTGTAATCCCACAGCACTCAAAAGACTCAGGCAAGAGGATTGTGAATTTGAGGACAGAAGACTATATAGAGAGACTGTTTCAAACAAACAAACAAATTCAAGATGACAAAAGAAAGCATTAAACCTTCTAAGTGCAGAATCCCCATGACAGCCCATGTGGCACCCCCATGATGCCAACTAAGTCTCATCTGGATCTAATTTTAAATTAGATCACCTGGATCAGATTTTCAAACCGAGTTGCTCTACAAGGCAGCGGCACTCTCTGGCACGCTCCCACCCTCGCCCTCATCCCTACCACGGGTTGGCCCCGTCCGGTCAGTTGGTATCTTCTGCCCACCGCATCACACTGACCATCAGCTCTGACCCAGTTGGATGCCTTTGTAACCACCTGGAGACCTGGCCGCTCCTGGCTTCTGAGAAACCTCAGGAGTTTCCCCTAACTGCACGCCTCGACTCACTGTGTGACCTACTAGAGACAGGTGGTAGCAGGGGGCAGAGGGACAGCAGAGGGGGTTTATGACATGAAGCAAACCTACCCAAGGAGAGAAGCCTGGCAACTTCTTCATGACACACATCAAACCAAAGGCCCTCAGCGGTGTGCCTGGACACGGGCTAGGGTCTAGTGAGGAGCCCAGGAATCCTGAGGAACCCTTCCATCAGGCACACCCTGCCTTCACCTACCTCCCATATGCTCTCTTTCTTCAGGGGTGGTTGGCACTCTGGAACACAGAGCCTCCTCTTTGGCCCTGCCCACCTCCCGAAAGGTCATGACTGGCCTTGGCACACTGCCCTACTCTGTCACAGCGTAGGTGTCCTGGATGGCAGAGCAGGCAGAAGAGTCTTGCATTAGTGGCTTCTCGATAAAATTGCGGGTTTCTCTTTTACGCTGCTTGTTTGTTGTGCTGGAATTGGAAACCGAGGCCTCATGTGTCCCCGGCTCTCCCAAGGAGCGTTTCCTGCCTTGTGGTAGGAAGTTGAGGTCTTAACTTGCCATTTTTTTCCTGGGGAGTCTGCAGAGCTTCTCCCATTGATTTCATTTCCTGCTCCTGATTTTCATTTCCTACCCCTTGCCCTTGACCCAGCTGATTGCTGGCCTCCTTTCTCCAACTTGGGGTTCCGAAACAGGAATCTAGATAAGTCAAGCAACAACCATCCCTTTGTCCTATTTAAAAATTTTTTTACATTTGTTTATTTATAACGCGCGTGCGTGTGTGTGTGTGTGTGTGTGTGTGTGTGTGTGTGTGTGTGCCCGCATGTGCACATACCCTTGTGGGATTTAGTTCTCTCTTTCTAACGTGTCTGTCCCAAGGATTGAGCTCAGGCTCGGTGGCAGGTGCCTTTACCCACTGAGCCATCTCACAAGCCTCTCTTTTTATTATTTTTAATTAATTAAATTAATTAATTAATTTTGAGACAAGATCTCTTTGTAGTCCTGCCTATCCAGGAACTTGCTATATGTAGACCAGGCTGGCCTTGAACTCATAGAGATTTGCCTGTCTCTGCTTTCCAAGTGCTGAGATTAAAGGTGTGCTCCACCATGCCCTGCCCATCTTTTACAGTAATGAATTTATTATTATTATTATTATTATTATTATTATTATTATTATTATTATTATCATCAGTGTGTGTGTATGAGGACACACGTGTGCCCTGACCTCTGTGTGGATGGAGGTCAGAGGAGAACATTTGAGAATTCCTTCTCTCCTTCCACCATGGATTCCAGGGATGGAACTCAGGTCATCAGGTTTATATAACAAGCTCCCTTACCCACCGAGCCACGGCACCAGCCTCCTTTGTCCCCTTGAACTCAAAGATCACCTTTGACCTCATTGAACACCTGCTTGGTTAAGGCAGGCAACCGATCCTTAGGAGCACAAGAGCTGAACAAAAATTCTAGATGGCTAAGAACCAGGAAGGCTCTACTCTCTGGTGTCTAAAGTAGGTGTGCCACGAAGTCACCCTACTGGCCAGGGGTCTGGGTGCACCTGGAGCAGACCCTGCCTAGGAGAACCATCATTTCGTACCTCAAACCAGAGGTCCTCGGCTGGGCATGTCTGGAACCAGGGCCTCAGTCGGGCACCTGCACAGGCTAGCCATGATGTACCTGTCCAGCCCTCAGGAGGTGGGGATGCCATAGAACAGGGTGAAGCTGGTCCAAGCTCCAGAGTTTAGCTGCCCTGACCCCCCCCCCAAGACGATCACTGCCAGCCATCAACTCAGTGTGACCAGAGCATCACAGGTCACGGTCTGTCCACACACACAACTGTCTCGTTTCACTGCGGGAACGAAAAAGAGGAACCAAAACTTGCTCAGGCTGCTTCTGGGCTTTACCTGGGGGAAGGGGAGGGAGGGTCCCCCATTCTAACCACGTGAAAAGTCCCATAGAAGCCCCAGCAGAGGAAGCCTCATTTGGGGGTGGTTAGAGGAATCAGAAATGAGGGGAAACCTGAGGCCAGACTGGGAGGGATTACGTTAGGGGGAGTCTAGATTCTGTCACTCAGATCGCAGAGACTGCGTTAGGAACACGTGCCCTCCTGAGGGACCGTCTACTTGGTCCCATTTCTTTGGCAGATACATTAAGAGCAACCACATATTTAGAACACAGAGTTAGAATGCAGGAATGGATTTTCTTTTGGGAATGAAAGACAAAATATTTCAAATTGACACTATCTCAGAAGGGCCAGCCAGACGGCTCAGTGGATAAAGGTGTTTGCTTCCAAGCCTGACACCTGAGTTAATCCTGCGTCTCACATGATGAAAAGAGAGAATCAACTTCCCTGTGATCTCCTTAAATGTGCACACACACAGATAAATATACCAAAACTTAATTTTTAAAACATTTAGAGCAAGTGCTCGCTCAGGAGGTGGTTTTAAGAGGCTACTGAGAGATGCAGGTGCGCGTACCTTGACTATGTGCCTGTCTTCACGGTGGAGACAGACTCTGGCTCACAGGGGGAACTCACCTTAAACCTGAAGATGTGATGAAGAGGTAGGGGCTGCTTAATGTCTCCCCCAGAGCCAAGCATGATGGCAATAATCCAAGCACCCAAGAGACTGAGGCAGGAGAGTCATATGTCCAAGGTTAGTTTGAGTTCAAGGATAACCTGGGCTACACAGTGATATCCTGTCTCAAAAAACTAAAAACTGGAGCTGGAGAGACATGGCTCAGCGGTTAAGAGCACTTGTTATTCTTCCAAGTTCAGTTTTCAACACTCACATCCAGTCCGATGCCTTCTTCTAGTTGCCTCCGAGAACACTCACACATACATGACAGATATAAACACACACACACACACACACACACACACACACACGTAAAATAAAAAGAAATCTT